GAGTGAATCACATTGATCACTCGAGGTCCGTCTACCTGTGGTGTTGGTGCTGGTGGAGGTGGTGTTATTAGTGCCTGGGGCAGTCTTGCCTGCTCTTCCCTTATCCTGGCCTCGTCCACTAGGTCCCTTAAATGGCCTTGTCTTACCAGGTCTTCCAGATGTGTCTTCAAGGCTCTACACCCCTAAGGCAGATGTCCAACCTCATTGTGGTAAGCACAATGCTTGTCAAGGCTTCTTCTCATAAATTCGCCTGGTACCCTTGCTAGTGCTCTGTAATAGGGCTGATTCCAGATTTTCTCCCAGACTTTGTAGACAGGGATTCGGAATACGGTTGTGACTGCTTGTGCAGCCCTTAATCTCGTCTTTGGTTTGTTGTATCCACCATCACCTTGGCCTTGCTTCGGCGAGCTGTTTTTCTTCTCTGGTTTCGATGCCTTTGCCCCCGGCATGTCCTCCTCGGCCCTAGCATATTTTTCTAGCTTGGCCGTGAGTTCCTCCATACTTTTTGGCAATGTTTTTGCCAGTGATTTTCGGAGCAGGCAATCATCTTTTAGGCCATTTTTAAACGATATGACTGCCACCTCTTGGTTGCATCCTGGTATTCGATTAAATACCTCGTAATACTTTTTGGTATAAGCTCTAAGGCCCTCATCCTCGCCGATCCTTAGAGCCATCAGGGCGTCAACCCTTAATGGTTGTAGTTTATTTGTCACAAATCAAGCCACGAACATCTCGGCTAGGCCCTCCCATCTTTTCACGGTTCTTTTCGGCAACTTATGAAACCAATCTGAAGCGATTTCCCCAAAGGACGAGGGAAATACCTTACACAGCAGCGGCTCGTTTGCAGTATACAGTGCCATTGAGTTCAAATATAAACCGACGTGAAAGTTAGGGTCAGACTTACCGTCCTATATCTGCAACCTTGGCATGTGGAACCTTTTTGGGGCCTCAAATTTCTCCAACTCCAACGAGAATGGTGTTCTCGGCTTGACCGGTGAGGTTACCTCGGCATCATGTTGCTTCCTCTGGAGGTAATCCCTTAGGTCCTCCTTGGTCCGTCCAGGACCTCGGCTGTCCCCGAATTTCAGCTTTTTCGGCGTGCTACTTCCGGTGTCATTGTGAGTCCTCTTGGACCTCTCTCCGTTAGTTGCGTTGAAACATAGTTCATCTCCTTGAACATGCCGGTGTTCGTTGGGGTCAGACTCCTTGGAACGATGCGTCCTCCATAAATCTCCCTTTCTTGGCTCTCCTCGCCCAACCTCTCCTGAAGGCCGGTGAGAGTGTTCCTTGGTCCTGGTGTGCTAGGGGACTGCAGGGACTGCCTTCTGTCCCTCTTTCTGGGCGTCTTTCTTGGCCGCTAGAATCGGCGTATCTTGCAGAGAGAACGATGGCTACATGACATTGTTTTGCATCATAAAATTGATGACTGACTGCAGGTTCGCCAATTTGTTTGCCATCCCCCTCATCTCGTCGTCCCTCCGTAGGCATCTATCTTTCCATTCTTGGAGGTTGTCTTCATTATAATATCTGCCTCGATCAGATTTCTTTGGCACGTCGCCCTCCTGGCCGACATCCTTTTCTTCGTGATTCTTATTACGAGTCTCTTCGACGTCAAGGTCAATATGTTTCCCACTCCCAGTAGGAGTGTCATCCCCAACCTTCTCTTTCTGTCCATTATTGGCCATCTATTCTTCTTTCTTTCCCATAGACGGCGCCAAATTGTGTGGGTAATTTTCTTACCACACTGCCCGCCTAGTAATCAGCTGGAGAGCACCGGCAGAATAGATGGCTTTAGTAACCTGTAACAGAAAGAAAAAGGCTCCGGCGGTGGCTCTTCCACCCGGGGGCACTCCGACGATCAAGTCAGTATATCTCTCAAAGATAATCAAGTGCTAAACTCACAAGCTTGAGTATAAAACTGCGTACCTTAGACCCACGGGAGTGCCTCTCTTTTATAGTTTACTTAATCCTAGTCCTACTAGAAGCTTGACTTCTATGGACTCTAATTTAGTACTTACTTTGGACTCCTCAAGAGATAAAGATAAACTCCCTAAGAGCTTTATCCTTATCTTGGCTAAGTCCCCTCTTTACTCTAGGACTCTTGTCCCTTATCTTTTATCCATTTATCTCGGATTCCGATATCTTCGGAGATAACCTCGGCCTGTCGAGATAACCTCGGTGTCACAACCAAGACACGTGGCACCTCGGCTGACACGTCGGCGTTACCTTGCCACGTGTTGGTATTCAAAAAATACATCCCCACAACTGCCCCCTAGGTTCTATTACCTCGGGATTCTGAGGTGATGGAACTTATATCTGTATTTTTTCCAATACCTCGGCGTAAGAACTCTTCGGCCGAGATCATTCATTTTAGGCCGACATGCCTTCATCAGAGAACAAGAACTCAAACGAACTCCCCCACGCACATGAGCTGTCATGCACCTCTTCTCAACCGTTTCCCTTATGTGTTCTATCTTCATTGGCCCATGTCTGTGACGCGCTTGTAAGCCGTCTTTCATCCGTCTGCGCCGTCTGATGCACGCGTTCCTCCAGGCGCAATAAATGCCGTGTTTTGCCGCCGCTTCAAGTTTTTTTGATAAAACTTTTCTTTCCCTCCTTACTTCTTTACTTTTGCACTCGATTTTCTTTCTCTATCTCTTAAACTTTCTCAAATCCGCCATTACTCTAGCTTCAAGCTCTGCAACCGTCTTCATTCTTCCATTTTAGCGAGGGTTTCGCCGTTCCGTCGTGTCTGTAACCGTTGCCTTATCTCGGCGACTTTCATTTCGGCTTCATTTGTTCTGGTAAGCCTCTGTTCCTCTCACTCCCAATTTCTTCTATGTGCTGTCGTTTACTTACTGTCATTATTGCTTTGTTCAAACCTTTGATTTGCTGAACTATTCATCTGGATGCGTCTATTCTATGATTTCACTAATATTTTGAACACTTGCACTGTTTCAACACTTTTCTTGCCACTGTTCTTGACCTTTTACTTCTGTATTTCTTTTGCTTCTGAGAACCATACCTCTGTTCTTTGATTTTGAAACGTCGTTCTTTGTTTCTTGTTTTCCAGATTTCTGCCTTTAATTTTTGCCTTCATAGAGTTAGGTTTGGGTTTTGTCGATAGAACCTTCAATTTTTAGGGAAAACTGAAACAATCCTTATCAGTATATACCTAGGGTTTTGCCGAGGTCCCGATAACCCCTTAAGAGCACCTTTTTTCCGAAATCTAGCCTTCTGTCTTTAGGCTGACGTTATGGGTATGTGGAGACATAGGGTTAATACCCCGACCAAACTTGAGTACTTTAAGCAGGAGTTCTCCGTCCCTGCCGATGTCCACCTGAAACTAGCTGGGGATGATGACTCCATCATGCCTACCAAAAACACCATGCCTCTCCCTATTGTAGCCTTTACTGAGCGTGGACTTCGGCTTCCACTTAACATTCTTTTTCGCGAGATTTTGCATTATTATAAGTTGAACCCTATGCAACTTGCCATAAACTCTTATCGAGTGATTTTTGGTATCATCGCCTTAGCCAGACAAGAAAACGTTAGAATCACCCTAGCCGACATACAGTATTGTTACACCATGTGCCCCCTTAGCCTGAAGGAAAAAGGTTACGTCTACTACCTCAAGCCGAGGTCCACTGAATTCAAAATCGTAGCCGACCTCCCAGACTCCAACAAGGGGGCTGGAGATGACTACTTCATTGTCTCTGGAAATTGGGAATTTGCCCCAGACGAAGATGTCCATCTATACCCTTTTCCTCGAACGGTTAAAGAGGGCAAGGGCAAGAGCCCAGTGTTTATTTACTTAGTTGTTTTTTTTCAAGTCTTCAATATTTTATCTGTTTCTAATGTCTGTTTCTTTTTGCAGATGTTCGCAAGCCAGCGAAAGATTTTCGCCAATCTTATGTTCTTAGCAAGGACCTGAAAAAGCTCTTGGACTTGCCTGTCCACAAAAGGAAAGTACCTCTTTTTCTGAACTTTATTCCTACGTATAAATCCACTCTGCCCGACGTTCCCAAACAAAAGAAGAAAAGCCTTTCTCCTCCGACTGCCACAACTCAAACCGCCTCTACATCTCGAACAGATCAAGAGTCAACATCTGACCCAATCAATCAACCATCTACCTCGGCCCCATACTTAATCCTAATACCAGAAAGAAAACGTCGGCGACGACTTGTAAAAACTGCTGAGATGGGTCGCCCGAAGCCTGTTGCCCAAGATCTCCTAGCTGACCTACCTGCCGACGTTGATGCTGTTCCAGCTCAGTCCATGCCCCCACCAAAGCCAAAAAGAGTCAAAAAGGCTCAGCCCAAGGCTAAAGCCACTGTAGTTGAGACTGAAGATACTCTGCCAATTTCACAATTGGCTAGGAGTAAGAAGACTTCTTCTGCTCCTACAAAAAAGTCTGCTGAAAACCCACTTTCTAAGTCCACACAGTCAAAGAAGCCAAGGTCGGCCTCAGCTACCACCTCGGGGTCCAAGAAACCGGATGTCCCTTGGGCTCCCAAAATTACTTTGGAAGACAGGCCAATTATGTCCAGTGAAAGCGCCGACGACATAAATGTCGGCGTTGCCCTCAGCACGGCATTGCTTCTTCCGAGTGACCTCGAGCGAAATGCTGAGTATAGTGAATAGGAGAATTACGCTCTAATGCTCCAGCACTCCGTTCAAGTAAGTGTTCCTGCTTGGAATTTTCTACTTTCTTTCTGTTTCATGCTTAAAATTTTTTCTAACACTTCTGTTTTCTTTTAGGCCATCCAGCATGCCCATTCGTTTTCAATGCAAGCTTTTGAAAACAGAGCAAAGTTGGTTGACCTGAAGAGAGAGGTTGGCGCCCTTAAAAAGGAAAACAAATCTCTTCAATTAAAGATGAAAAAACTGGAAGACCAGGCTGAGGCTGCCACCAAAGCCCAAACCCTTGCCGAGGAAAAGGCCGAATCTGCCGAGGCTATTAAGAAGGTCGCTGAGGCCGAGAAGAGAGAGGCCGGGGAAAAAAAAACCCAAGCAGAAAAGGAACTTCAAGATGCTTTATCTACTAAAGACGCTGAAATCAAGGCGGCTGATGAAAAGGCCTATGCTCAAGGAATGGCTGACGTTACAGAAGAATACAAACTACAGGTCAGGCAGGCGTGCAACAGGGGCTTCTCCCTTGGTTAGATGGCCCTTGCAAAGAAACTTAATCTCCCTGAGAATTCACCATTGCGCCAAGCCGACGCTATTCCTCTTCCATTTCCTCTACCTCCACCTCCAAGCCAAGCTGAAGATGAATCTGAGTCTGAATCTGAGGATGAGGATAAGGATGATGATGAAGCTTTGGTAAGGAAGCCCAAGGATACTAGTGAGACCAAGTCCCCTCCTTAGGATGATCAAGTCCTAGACTTGACTCATGAGGAGGATGAAGAGGTTATCAAAGAGACCACCCCTGAGCAAGCATCATCTGATGTTCCTCAAATAGGCAAGAGTGTTGATGAAACCCTTGCCGAGATTGACGCCGAGATTGCTGCAGATGAGGAAGCCGAGGTATCTCTTCAGGAGACTTCTGAGGTTCAGATCCAGCCAGATGCTAATGCTGATGCTGAGAAGTCTTAACTTTCATGTCTTTTCTTTTGCACCCTTGTACTTTGTTTTGTTTTCTGGACAATGTAGGCTTCCTTTCATGGCCGATGTGCATTTTTTTGTTATTTCGAAACAATTTACTTCTGGTAGGCCGTAGTGCCTTCTTTTGTACACAACTGCAACTGTTTTTCTCTGAATGCTTTAGTCTTTATTTTCTCTTGATTGCTTCTGCATGGTTCTATACTTAGAATATTTTGTATGCCTTTCATATCTTGCCACCTTTGTGTAATCTTCTCAGGGTCACATATCTCGGGTTTAATAACTACAAGTTTTACTTCGGCAAGATACTGACCTGCAAACTTTTCATAAGTTTCAACAAGTGTAAAACATATACTATAAATTTTTCTCAAGTTATAACAATGGTCTACTTGTAAATTGCTACAAATTTCAACAAGTGTTTTAGACAATATACTTAGCTTTTACCTCAACCTGTAAATTGTTGCAAATTTCAACAGATGATCACATGTCAGCTTAACATTATCTTGTAAATTGCTACAAATTTCAACAAGTGTTAAGCATCTTCTTTGGCTGGACCAACCTGTAGATTGTTATAAGTGTGCAAACTATAACCTTGGTTTCACTTCAACTTGTAAATTGCTACAAATTTCAACAAGTGAAGATAAGGAATAATCTCGGCTTAACTTCGACTTGTAAATTGCTACAAATTTCAACAAGTGAAGATAAGGAATCAGCTTAATTCCAACTTGTAAATAAATTTCAACAAGTGAATTAAGTGTCTCTGTCTTCTCTCTGCCCCCAATGTGAACCTGAGTTCTACTTGGGTTCTCATTATTCATGTCTCCAAAAACACCAATATGTAACTTTATCAAATATATGTGTTTTAAGAGAAAGGAAAAGATTTTATTGATGACATCGGCCAAAAATACTGCACATCTAATGATAGAAGAATTTCAAATTACAAGTGTTCCAAGGTCTTGGCAGTGCTTTGCCCTTGTTATCTTCAAGCCGATAAGCTCTATTGCCTAATACTGAAGTAATTCTGTAGGGTTCTTCCCAGTTTGGGCCAAGCTTGCCCTCTCTGGGATCTTTCTTGTTGTCGATGACTTTTCTCAGAACTAGGTCGCCGATTTGAAAATCTCTTGGATTGACCTTCTTGTTGTAAGCTCTAGCAAGTTGTTGCTGGTATACTGCGAGCTGAATTGCAGCTTTCTCTCATCGTTCTTCCAAAAGATCCAGATCTCAGGCTAAGAGTATGTCATTGGTGCCATTCTCTACTCCCTGGGTCCTGATCCCTGGGATGCCGATCTCCAATGGGATGACAGCTTCTGTGCCATAAGCCATGGCAAAGGGGGATTCCCCTGTTGATCTTCTCGGCGTAGTCCGATATGCCCAAAGCACATTGGGCAACTCGTCTACCCACTTTCCTTTTGCTGCCTGCAGCTTCTTCTTTATTCCATCCAAAATTACTTTGTTGGATGCTTCTGCTTGCCCATTACTTTGGGAAAAACTTAGTGTTGAGAAGTAATTCTTGATCTTGAATTTCGCACAAAAGTTCTTGATAAGTTTGTTATCAAACTGTGTTCCGTTGTCGGCAACTATTGCTTTTAGAATCCCAAATCTGGTGATGATGTTTCTCCATATAAAGTTCTTGACGTCCACATCTCGGATTTTGGCAAGAGGTTCTGCTTCTATCCACTTTGTAAAGTAATCTGTTGCCACTAGCAAGTATTTTCTCTCCCCAGTTACCTGGGGAAGTTGCCCAATCAGATCCATGCCCCATTGGGCAAACAGCCAAGGGCTGGATATTGGGTTCAGGTCAGCAGCTGGCTGATGTATTAAAGGTGCAAACTTTTGGCATTGTTCACACTTCTTCACGTAGGCTTCAGCATCCTTTTGCATGTAGGGCCACCAATACCCCTGGGTAATGGCCCTGTGGGCTAATGATCTGCCCCCAGCATGGCTTCCACAAATTCCTTCATGAATTTCATATAGGAAATCTTCAACCTGCAAAGGGTGTACGCACCTTAAAAGGGGTCCAGTGAAGGACCTTCTGTAGAGGTGTCCATCTTCTGTCAGACTGAATCTTGCAGATTTCAATCTGACTTTGTGTGTCTCCTTACGATCTTCTGGCAGCTTTCCTTCTTTCAAGAATGCAACAATTGCATCCATCCAGCTTGGCCCCATGTCCACACGCATTGCTTGCTGCTCTGTGCTCTCTGGTTCTATGCTCGGGCCCGACATATAGTCGATCATAATTGTTCTTGTTTTTCCAGTCTGCATTGAACTTGCCAGGTTAGCCAACGCGTTGGCGTGGGTGTTGTCATCTCGGCTAACTTGGAGTAGTCGGCAGTTCTGGAATAGGGCTGCCAATCTGATGACCTCTTTTGCATATGCCGACATCCTTTCGTCTCTGGTTGCAAATTCTCCTGTTGATTGGTTAACAATAAGTTGTGAATCACAAAAAACTATTACCTCATCTGCTTCTGCTGCTGCTGCCAGTTTTAGCCCTGCAATCAATGCTTCGTATTTCGCTTCATTGTTTGAGGCCTTGAACCCTAAACGGATGGATTGTTCTATTATTTCTCTATCTAGAGATATCAGCAGTACTCCTGCCCCTGCTCCTTGTCGGTTCAAACTTCCATCGACAAACAATCTAAATGAGTCACCGATGTAGATGCTGCAGGGTCTGAGTTTTTCCTTCCTTTGCTCTTTCGCCTTTGGCTGGGATTCTCCTTGCTTGCTGGGACAATGCTCATCTTGGCTCAACGGAGCCCGATGTTCGATGGTTTCGGGCGTGAATTATGCCACGAAGTCGGCCAAAACTTGGCCTTTGATTGCTGTTCTCGGCCTGAACTCCAGGTCATACTGACCCAGGGCTACTGCCCATCTTGCTATCCTTCCTGTTAAGTCTCCTTGTTGCAACAAGGATTTCAGTGGGTGTTCTGTTAGAACCACGATCTTGTGCGCTTGAAAGTAATGGTTCAACTTCTTTGAAGCCTTTACTAAGGCTAGAATTAATTTCTCCAGTGGTAGATACCTTGTTTCTGCGTTGGCCAAGGTTTTGCTTACATAGTAAACGGCCTTTTGCTCCCATTTTTCTTCTCGGATTAGTACTACACTGACTGCGTGTTCTGAAACTGCCAAGTACAAAAACAGTTCTTCCCCTAGTTCTGGATTGGAAAGAACCGGAGTTGTGGTCAAGTACTTATTCAGGTCGGTCAAAGCGGCTTCGCATTCTTCTGTCCACAGAAAGTCTGTGGCTTTTTTCACCAGGTTGAAGAAGGGTCTGCACTTATCTGAGCTTCTGCTGATGAATCTGTTTAGGGCTGCGGCCTTTTCAGTAAGCATCTGAACCTGTTTTGTCGACGTCGGGCTCTTCAGCTCTAGGATGGCCTTGATTTGGTCTGGGCTGGCCTCAATGCCCTTTCTTGTTACCAGATACCCTAAAAACTTACCTGATCCAACTCCAAATGCGCACTTTGATGCGTTGAGTCGGAGCTGGTATGTTTTGAGTATATCAAAGACCTTTTTTAGGTTGGCAAGATGATCCTTTGATTCCTTGGTCTTCACGACCATGTCATCGATGTAGACTTCTACTGTTTTGCCAATCAGGTGCTTAAACATCTTTGTTACTAACCTTTGGTAAATTGCCCCTGCGTTTTTTAACCCGAAAGGCATTACCTTGTAACAGTACAGGCCTTTAGGGGTGATGAACGCGGTCTTCTCGTCGTCTGGAGGGTACATGGCAATCTGGTGGTACCCCCTGTATGCATCCAAAAAACTCATTCTTTCATGCCCTGAAGTTGCATCTACTAGCTGGTCAATCTTGGGCAGAGGAAAGCTGTCTTTGGGGCAGGCTTTGTTGAGGCTGGTAAAGTCTACACAGACCCTCCATTTGCCGTTCTTTTTCTTCACTACTACTATGTTGGACAGCCATGTCGGGTAGTGAACTTCTCGGATGGCCCTGGCCTCTAGAAGTCTGTCTACTTTTTCTTCTACTACTTCGACGTGCATCAACGTCGGTCTTCTGGCTCGTTGAATCACAGGTTTTGCCGACCTGTCGACATTCAGTCTGTGGCAAGTGACCTCGGGGTCAATGCCAGACATCTCGTAAGGTGTCCAGGCGAACACCTTAATGTTGGCTCTCAGAAAATCTTCTAGTTCTCTTTCCTCTTCTTCGGCTAAGCCTGAGCCGAGAAGAAAGAAGCGTTCTTCATTGCCCTCATGGACAAGGATTTTCTTTAGTGTCTCTTCACTCTTTTCGGTTGGCTCCTTGCCGACATCATCTAGGACCTCCATGTCCTCGTCTTCAATCTCTGCCTCTTTTGGCTCTCGAATGCAGCAAGTAGACTTCATTGCTACCATGGAGCAACTTTTTGCCTGCAGTTGATCTCCTCTGACTTCTTCAATCCCATGCTCTGTTGGGAACCGTAGTAGTTGATGTAGTGTTGAGGGAACTGCCCCCATTGCATGCAACCATGGTCTTTCCAAAATGATGTTATATGGCGAGGGTGTGTCCATCACCATAAATTCTGTCTTGATCTTCTTAGTACCAGCTTGTACTTCCACGCTTGCTGCGCCCAGTGGCCATGTCGGCGTTCCATTGAAGCTGACCATCGGGTTGTTGGATCGTTCCAGGTCGTCAGGATGAAGGCCCAGCTCCTTGTAACATCTGACGTACATGATGTCACAAGAGTTGCCTTGATCTATTAGGATGCGTTTTACTTGGCACTCCCCAACCTGGAGGGATACTACCAAGGCATCATTATGCAGATGCTGGACTATCTCTAGGTCGGCTTCAGTGAAGGTTATCATCGGTCCTTGGTATTCTTCAGGCCGAAGTCTTTTGTGTCCGACCTGGTTCACGTGTTGCAGGTGTTTTACTCTTTGGGTTTCTTCCCGAATGTCGTTTTCGTTCACCTTTGAGTGAATGACATTGACCACCTGTGGTCCTCCTGCCTGTGGTTGTTGTGCTGGTGGAGGCGGGGCTGCAGGTGCTTGAGGCAATCTTG